AGTTAATAGAAATTAGAATAGATTCGCGATATCGCAATTGCACAGGAAATAATTTAATTGCTGAATAGTAATATCGTAATGAAAGTGCGGAATAATAATTAGAGTGCTAGATCGCAATCAGGGCTGGCCGCGTAACTCAAATGAGCGCTTGGCCAAACTGACTAACTATTTAGTTGGTTATGTTATTGTTATGGAAATTCCTATATACAGAAAGGTTCTTTTTTATGAAATATACAAAACTTTACAAAAAAGGAAATTAAATTTTACAAAAGGAAATTTAATTATGACTTAAATTTATGTATATAAGCGTGACATTTAATAGTGATGTGATGACATGATGATTAAAATTTGTGGGTTGGAGGTGGTAGGAATTACAGACCATTTACCAACTCTAAAAATTAAATATTATTTGTCGCATAGGTTTATAAAAAGAACCTTTCTGTATACCCTTTAGTCATATGTTTATATAGTCAAAACAATTATTGCTAAATTAGGATTTTAACTGCCAGCCCTGATCTCAATGAAAGTGCTACTAATCAATTAAATTGTATATAAAAAGCTTGAATTCGACATATTTGCAAAACAACTTTGTCATAAGTTGATAACTATTAATTTAGAAATGAATTGATAATAAAATTAGCTTTGACTAAATAAAATAAATACATATTTTCTTTATAAATCACTAAACCAAATTACTCGCTAATAAAAACTATTCGCTAGCAATAGCTGATTCATTCTGATCCACATAATCATAAATTTACATTTGTTATCATCAATTAATACTAATACGCTCTCCCAAATAATAATTGATGACGCAATGGATAAGTAGTTTTATAAAAAACCTTTTACATTTTTTTATTGTTATGAGTAACATAAAGTAATGTTTGCAATTATATGACTCCATTTTTGATAATAATTCATCATAATTATAGTCGCAGAAATTGCAGACAGTTGCAGTAAAGGTTGCTACTCAATTTTAAATTTCGCAGTTGCATCTAAAGCTCCGAACGAGCCGAGATCGAGTATAATATATATATTTTTTTTAGGTAACAAATGATTAATTATTATGTATGCATATTAATTTAAGAGCCTATTCTCTTGAACTTGAAATACAAGTTTTAACTCGAGTCTGCTCAACTCGGAGTTTCTATTCAAATAAAAAACGAATAAAATAAATAATTTGAATAAAACGAATAATTTTGATAAAACGAATTCAATAATTGTAAAGATTTTCGCATTTTAATATCTGAACAAACATTGTGAAATTTTACAGTCAAATCTCTCGTTTCAACGAATCTCGTTTCATTAAATTCGCGTTACTACGAAATTTTAAAAACATAAAACTCATTGAAATGTGATTAGTAATTTTGGTATAACGAATTTTAAATGCGGTTTTCCATGGATTCGTTGAAACGAGGCTTGACTGTATGCATATATTTCAGAGTCCAAAAAGCATTGTTTTATTAGAAGAACAAATACAGAATTGTACTCATTTGAATTTTTTATTCTGTCATAAAATTATTGACAATTTATAATTTATTATTGCTTTACTTTTATAATTATTTCCAGTGGTCTGCAAAATAAATTTCGAGTTTGACTTTAGAAAATATGAAAACGATTATAGACACCCTTCTTCCAAAAATGTAATATAGTCTGACGTTGTGATTCTAGATCTGATGATGTCATGGTTACGGCTTTATTTGTGATAATATGATAATAAAATTTTTTAAAAACTGTATTACAAGTAAGAAAAAACAATAACAAACGTATGTGTAAAATGCAATGTGGTATTATTGTTTATGCAAAAAGTTATCATGTTTTAAAATCACATGGCTTTTTGGCCAAGTATTTTTGTAACACACTGTATATATACACTTTTTTATTTGCAACAAGATTAGTGTTCCATGTCACAATGGTGTTATCAATGATTTCAGGGATCAATAGTGTTTGTAGTGATGTTAATCATTTGACTATATTCGAATAAACATTCAAATATCTGGTTGTGTAACCAGATATTCATTGAATATTCAAAAGAAATGAATATTTGAATATTCATGATTAAAATCACTAAGTGTTTGTTTAACATAACAATTGTATTACCTGTGTATTTGTCTAGACAAAAATAGTTAATATGAAACTCATTTACATCAGATCTACTATGGAACCCAAAGATTACAGCATCATTAGAAGTATTCTGAAGAAAGAACAAGGTGAAAAAATTGCTCCTTACATTTTCAAAATAAATAAAACTCAGACATTTGAAGATTATCTAAGGAAAGAAAAATTACCTATGAAATTTATCAAGAAGAAAGAAAAATAATAAATGTTGGAAAAAGAAAGTAGTGTGATGATGTATTATTATTACCTAATAAAAAGTGAAAATCTTTAAAAGGAAAATAACTACCATTTCTTTGATAGTTGGAATTATACAGAGGTAAATAACCAAAAATTACTTTCTTATTTTCAATCAAGGTGATTTCTTAGTTTCTTTAACTTCAATTTGTGCAGTTAGTTGAGTCTGCTTTCTTTTAATTGTTCAACCTCACTTTCAAGCCTTTGAACCTTATCTAATAACTCTTGCTTTTGCTTATTATGTCAATCCTTTGAAATTTCTAAAGCTTCCAAATGAGAACTGATTTCTTCCTTAGCACTGGATAGTTGCTGTTTTAAGTCTTTATTCTGCTGTTCCAATTTGCCAACATAACTCTGTGCCATTATTTCTGTTATAGTTGGGATTTTGACTGGTTCATCTTTCCTTAAATCACAAAAACAATCTATCCTGTTTCTCATAATTCTACCACAATCATTACAATGTGGCAAAGTATTATCATCAAGAGCTTTTTTACACTCAACACAAATATAAGCAATGTCATTGTAATCATTATTGCTTGTATTGTAAGATACTATTTTGTAAGTAGCAGTTAAACTCCTTTCTCTTTCAAAAGGACAGAAATTACAATGTCATTTATCTCCTCTCCTCAGCATGTTAACTTGGTATTCTAATTTTATGTTATTTATTCTTTTGCAAGATATAGGTTTCAAATATTTCTTGAGTTATTTCTTTACTTGGCTAACTTTGTTCTTTACTTTGTTAATTATGAGTTTAAATTGGATTTCTTTCTTTGGTAAAACTGGTAGTCCTTGAAGCTGCTTGTCTGCCAAATATTTCTGTCATGCCACAATATTTTCTAGAACTTCTATTTTTCTCAAAGCTTTTTCTAAGTTGTCATCTTTTTCTTTACTTTGTCTTATTCTCCACTGTTTAGCTACTTCAAGAGCCTCTAAATGACATTCAGGTATTTCCTCCTCTAATTCTAATGCTTCTTCCAACTCCTTTTTCTCTTCTTCTGATTCCTTAATTTTCTCTTCATATTCTTGCTTTTGTTCAGTAAGTTGGTGACATTTCTCTGTATACCAGCCAAGATATTCTAAGCATTTTGGGCCTAGTTGATTTGAACTATCAAGAAATCCCTCTAACATTTCTTCAATGGTGATATTGTCAAATCAAATTCTTTTGCAATCCTTAGCTCACTCTTTTGTTTCATTAGGATCTACTGCCATTCTTAACTTTCCTTCATCTAATCATTTCTTATTTAATTTCTTGTATCATCATGTTCCCCTAGGAGCATACATACTAACTTCACCGTTTTCATCAATAGACTGACCAGTGTAAGGTTTCTGGCCAAAACTGCTTCTATTAGTAGCCGAAATTGCCCAAATACTTTGGGCAAAATTTATTTTTTTATAAGCCCAAACTAATTTTTGTTATTAGCCGAAATTGGGCAAAATTATTTTAAAGTTATTTAAGTTAAAACAATTTGATTCATATAGTTTTTTAATGTTCATGCTTATAAAAAATGTTGTGAAGTCCAAATTGCCCAAACTAGTTTGGGCTTTGAGAAAACAGTTTGGACCAGAAACCTTAGACCAGTGATATGTCAGATTTTTAATTTAAGTTCTTCTATTGATTGTCCTCTTTTCTTGATCATTATCAGCTAACTGCTTTTCTAAATCAGTAATTTTGTTTAATAGTTCTTTATTTGCTTGTTGTTGTTCATTTATTATGTTTTTCATGATTTATTGGCTTGTTCCTTTTTTTATTTATTTATTTAATATATTAATATCCTTTTTATAAGGTACTGTGAGATAGTAAATATTGGACCTATCAATTACCCGGTTAATATTGACCAATTAGAACGAACTTACTACGGAAGTCATGTGATGTGCTAAATATTACATCACAATCAATGACCAACTTTTTATATATTATTGTAACGGTTGTGCCATATATCATGTAATGTTATACTGAACATCTTTATATTCATATTTCTACTTATGTATTTCACATATTACTCATCTGATGTAAATATTTATTTATTAGTTGATAAGAATATTATTTGAGAGTAGAATAGCACATATCACATTATTTGTACTGCCCCAAGAGGTATAAATACATTTGGCCTTAGTCCAAGTTAAAAAAATCATGAATAATAATGTTGATAACAATCTTGATAACAATAACATAATAATAACTCTTAATAAATATATAACCTTACATAAAATAGTCTTTGACTGTAAGTAACTAATAAACCCAGTGTGGTTGACCCCCCCAGCCCTTCTAATGGTCTGGCCAACCTTTAATTATTAGTTGGGAACTTTTTTAATTATTCAGATACATCTCAAGGGGACGCCTTTGGGATATAATAATTTACATAGAACCTAGGGACCCTTTTATCCAGGAAGATAAAAGTTATTTTTATTATTAATCTTTGACCATAAGTCAGCGAGTAGGCTGTGTGTCATATATATATAGTTAAAGGAAACTTGACTGTAAGTCAGCGAGTAGGCTGTGTGTCAAACAATAGAATCAACCATAAGTCAGCGAGTAGGCTGTGTGTTGAGCTATAAATAACCTATTAATTGGGAAACTCGGATTGCACGCTCGCAACGTAATGAACATGGAAGCATCAGGAGGTTCCCTTCAACAGGATCAGAAACATGCTCTTAATGATTCAGGCAAAATATCTAACACTGGTGTGGATATTCCCCTTATGAGTCTCTGAAAGTACCTTGGTGCTAATATTGAGACTGCAAAGAAACTAAAAACATATAGTATACAAATTATTGGTATGGAAATTGTTTTCTTATAATATATATTGACATTAATATGATAACAATTTTTGTTGTCCTTGTAGAAGACCAAATCACGCTAATAGAAGTATCACTTTACAAACTGCGAATCTGCAAGGAAGTTGAGGCCCAAGTGCCATCTTTCCATTTGCATTGTCTTCCATAGGAGAATATATGGGGGCTTTTCAATAGAAACAGACCATGTTGTGAAAAAAGCAATTTTGAGTTAATACCATTGCTATATGTAACTCCTCATGTAGAACGTTTTCAGCTTAGAAACTATACTCACTTTGCATAGTAAAATATCAAGATGTTGTTCTTTAAAGTTTCAAAAACGATAGTAAACCCTTAAAATGCAGATCTTTTTTTTGATCTCCTCAAAACATCATTTTCACAACATGGTCCGTTGGGGTGTTAAATATTAGTATAATCACAAATATAGGGGAAACCAAATAATAAAATGCAGATCAAATTTTTACTAAAAAAAATTTCTTTTGTATACTAATATCAATTTTAATAAAGTTTCTTAAAAATTTTATAACTCTGGAAACAGAATAGCCACAGAAAAAATCCAAAATTATTATTACTCCTGAGAAACTTATCTACAATGTAACAATGCAAATTTTTGTGTTTGCAATAAATTTTTAGAAATTGTGTTAATAAACATCTAGAATTTTGACAAAAATTACATTTAGTAATATGCAAGCACATCAATGTTACAAGTATTTGCAAAAAAATAGCATTGTTACGTTGTAAACGCATATTTTGGGAATACAAAACACTTTTCAGAATTGGAAAACCCCATCTGTATGTTGAGTTATAAAAATTTCTGTAAAGGTGATTTTTCTTAATTGATAAATATTAATTTCGCATTTGTTAATTATTATAAAAATGATCAACAAAAATCTTTACTATTTGATTTTATTATTTGATTTCTCCTATGTTTGTGACTATACTAATATCTAACACCCCAGCCCTCAATGGTAATCAAAGATGAAGGAAAAAAGACCGATTATGATGATGATGTATATACTTTGCAAAAAAATAGCATTGTTACATTGTAAACACATATTTTGGGAATATAAAACACTTTTCGGAATTGGAAAACCCCATCTGTATGTTGAGTTATAAAAATTTCTGTAAAGGTGATTTTTCTTAATTGATAAATAGTAATTTCGCATTTGTTAATTATTATAAAAATGATCAACAAAAATCTTTACTATTTGATTTTATTATTTGATTTCTCCTATGTTTGTGACTATACTAATATCTAACACCCCAGCCCTCAATGGTAATCAAAGATGAAGGAAAAAAGACCGATTATGATGATGATGTATATACTAGAATCTAAAAGCATACAATTTCACAACAGAAATGGAAAGACCACTTACAACTATGAAGGAGGAATGGCACATATTTCAGGGAAGACACTCCCAAGTGAATGTGAGAGAAGAAGACCATCATAACCATTTCCGATGTATATGGTGCAAACAAACATGTAAAGCTTTCCATCAGAGGTGTAGATGCAACTTGGAAGAAAAGATACAAGCTTACAATTTAAAGTTTGAAACAGAAGAAGAAATAGGCCAATATGCAATTGATGTTGGGAAAGGACTCAACGAAGAACAAACTTAACAACTTTCTGAATTGTTATATAAATACCATGACATATTTGCTTGGGAGAAGTTTATCCAAGAAGAAATACAAGAATGTTAGATGCAGGATTCATTCATGAATCAAATAGCGAGTATGCCTTAGAAGTTGTAGTAGTAGAAAAGAAAGGAGAAGTCCTACGATTTTGTGTGGACTATAGAGATCTAAATAAGAAAACCAAGAAGGCCCTATGAAAAATTTGGTATGGAAAACTGTATGGAAAAATGCAAATTTCAGGTAAATTCCATACTAGTACAGTTTTCCATACATTTTCCATACCAAATTTTTTATAGGGAGGATTCTTATCCTTTACCAAGAATTGATGACATATTAGAAACACTACAAGGTTTTCATCCTTAGATTTAGCAAGTGATACTGGCAAGTTGAGATGAAACCAGAGGATGTCTAAAAGACCACCTTCATCAACTTTTGAATTCACAATTATGCCTTTTGGATTAACAAATGCTCCTGGAACTTTTCAGAGATTGATGGATAAAGTCCTCTGGGACATGCTATGGAAGTCAATAGTAGTATACCTTGATGATGTCAATATCTACTCAAAGATATGGGAGGAACATCTACAACATCTAGAAAAAATTTTCGAACATATCCAAAAAGCAGGACTGAAACTTAGCCCATGGAATGTCAATTGGAAATACAGAGTTGAAGTTCTTAAGACACATAGTTAGAAAAGATGGAATTAAGATGGACTCCAACAAAGTTAGAGAAGGTGCAAAACTTTCCTAAACCTATTAATGTCACTCAAGTTAGAAGTTTCTTAGGACTTTGTAACTATTATAGAAAATTTGTAAAAGGATTTGCAAAGAGATCTTCACCTTTAACAGAACTATTAAAGGAAGGAGAGGAATTTAATTGGACGAATAGACAACAAGAAACTTTTGAAGACTTGATAGAACAACTCACCACTGAACCTATATTAGTATATCCAAACTGGAAGCAACCATTCATCTTATCTACGGATGCATCAACATTTGCTTTAGGAGCAATTCTTTCACAACTAGATAATAAAGGAAATGAAAGAGTGATTGCATATGCTAGTAGACAACTAAGACTGGCAGAGAAGAACTATGCAGCAACAGAATTAGATTGCATTATATGGGCCATAAAACATTTTCATATATACCTTAGTGGATCCAAGTTTAAATTAATTATAGACCATGCAGTGTTGAAGTATTTAAACAATATGGAGGGAAATTAGCTTGTTGGATTATGACACTACAGACTTATAATTTCGAAGCAGAACATAGATCAGGAAAGAAGCATCAGAGTGTAGATACAATGTCTAGAATAAAACGGGATACTAGGATTAACTTAGTTAAATAAACCATTTTAATTAATTAGTATAAACATTATATAGACATTATCATTATCTATATATACAGGGTGTTAAGAAAAAATGGTGGTTTGCATACTATGCATATTGTAACTACTTAATAACAAATTATTAAATACAAGTAAAACCAAATGGTGGTGTTATTTTTATTCTGCCCACGGCATTATCACAAGTAATTTTTTCACCTTTATTCAATTTTTTAATTCCATCAAAAATCATGCTAAGAATTCCATTAGGACCTTTTCCTATAATTTCATCTTCGTTAAGAACATAGTTAATTTGTTCCCTTACTGCTTCATCTTGAATACCAAATAAATGAACTTTACATGGACTAAGGTAATATATTTTACTTACTTGTTGATCAGAATGTGGCACATGAACATTTTGGGCTCAATCATAACTATAATGAGCAGTGGTATCAATATTACAATACTGTGTTCTACCCTTTGAATAATTTTGATTAACTAATTTTCTTTGTTCTGCTAATTTGGTGTTTTTTATTATAATAATTTCTTTCTATTTTGGCCTTGGACAAATGTTCTTTAAATCTTTTGAGTAAATCTAGCTTCTTCCTCTTGATGAGCATTATAATGCAAGCCATTTCTAAAATGTTGACATTCAAATCAAAAAATATCAGATGGGGGCATCTTTCCTGGTCAGGGGATTTAACAAAATAACTGGTCATTAATTATATGATGTTCTACTTGTTAATCAAACAATAGTGATCTCAATATATTAATATATAAAATAGTGTTCTCTAATAGTTTATTTCATATGCTAGTAAGTCATTTAAATGATAACATTAAAAATCAATATATTCTTAAATGTCTTGTAAGTATAAATGCAATTTCCACAAAGCCATGGAAAGTGATTTAGTAGATAAAAATGTAACCAAACCAAACATTCTCACATCATTATCGTTGTCATTTAACTTTAAAAATTTTCTTAATCTAATCAACTCATGATTCCCAAATAAATCTTTTACATTATAAAATGTCACATTATATGAAATTAAATTATTTTCTCTGTTATAGAAAGAAACTTTTTTAATAAAAGATATTGGTGTTGATGAAATAGAATTTCTTTTTGATTGCACTAGCTGATGTGGATGTTGTTGTTGATTATTAATAATAGTATCTCCTTGTGTTTTTATAGGATCAAGTATAAATACACAATTAATTCCATTAATCCATAATTTCTCATTTCCTATTTTGTATTCTACAAAATATGTTGATTTTGATTTGACTATTGGAATTATTGGAACAAAAACTATATTTTTACTATGAGGAAATCTTTTAGTTCCAATATACAATAAAACCTTATTCCATTGTGACAGAGTTCTATCAAGAAGTACATTCCAAACATGTTCATGCATATCAGGTCTCCAAAATGCATTATTATCAATATACTTGTATTTCCCTAAAATTTAAATAGATAATTCATTAAATTACTCCAAAAAGATATATATAAATTATTATACAATACTAATAATGCTTTAATATCATTCATACCTTCTTTAGTAGTTAATTGTAGAATTTTTGAGTTGCATCTTATCCAAAATCCTTTACCTGGTCTTTTTACACCTTCATCTGCAAAATCTGGTACAATCCAAGTTGTCGATGTTTTCTCATTGTAAGCTTTAATAAAACGAACTAGAAATGCTAATTTATAATAATTAACATATTAATTATACATATCATTTTGTTTATTTTAAGTAAAGCTATCAACTGGCGATTAGATTTTGAACATTGGTCACACAGAGCCTGAGTTAT